AGTTTTTTGTTTGGTGTTTCATGGTAAGTAGTTCCTAATCAGAAATTGCTATTAAAACGCAGCTATGCTGGTTTGTAACAATAACTCTGCTACGATCTGTCTTTGCGCTTAAAAGTTTCACATTGCAATTAGAACCTCAGTTTAATCATTTTAGTGACTGATATCACATAGTCTAGATGGTAACTCACTAAATCGATTTCCCGTAGATGAACTTCCATTTTCTAGCGTACTATCTCCATTTGGTCGAGAAGATGACTCAAATGCAGAGTCTTCGATGTCGTCATCATCTTTGCCACCCATCAATTTGTACACCGTTCTCATGGGGGTAAAGAAGATATCCCCTAGAAGAGAACAGGTAACAACCTTCAATAACGAAGTATAAGAAGTGCTAACTCAGCGAGAACGATGAGTGAGACGTTTTCCGCCTTTTTGCAGAATATACAGGAACGCTGCTTGAGCTCAAAGTGGAACTGTAGAACTCGCGTTTGCGCACTAAAAAAATTCCTGTCGTTCCTATTCAAACTCAGAATCCACTCCAAAGTTTCAACAATCATCAACGCAACTTCTTTAACTTTTGTACAGAAAAAAAAAAACATGACAAAAAGGTATTATTTATAGCACTGTTTCAAAAGCAGAGCTCCAAGAGAAAGTTTCTAAAACTGTTGCTCATACGTACGACATCAACTAGTTTCACGCATCTCATTTACCTTCAAACGTTCTCCTTCAGAAATTGTTATAAGACACAGAAGAACACACCTCTTCGATCGTCGCCTTCAGCTGCAATATCAAGCTGCGGTCTTTCCAATTGTGGATGATTGTTAGAAGACGACTTCTCCTCACCAAGCGCCCAACGACGCATAAAACTCATTCTGAAATGACTCCAAGTAGGTCAACGAAAAGTAGATTGCGCTCAAATCACTATCGAAATGATAGAAAGATACCACCAAGAGAAGTTGAAAGATGTAGTTAAGTAAAGTAGGTGAAAAAGCCCCCATGTTTCCAACATAAACTCTTTAAGTTATAA